GGAGTGGAGGTTTAACAAACAAGAGGGAGGAGTTTCAATATGTTAACAAACACCACGCCTGCTGGTGAGGACAGGCTGAGCATCCTCCTCCCTTTCTCAAAACCAAAATCACCTTCCCTCTCCCCCCACTCTGTCACCATCATCTTTGACCTGGAAATCTCATGTCCCATCCCATCTCCATAGCAACTACAACTTCTAAAAAAAAAAAAAAAAGTCTTATATCTTCATTCCCCTGCTTTAAACCTTTCACAATGCAGTAGCTCCTACTGTGTTCGAATAAAGTCAAAGCCATTCAAAATAGGTCTTGGCCTGGAGCCCCTGGGTGGCACAGTCGGTTAAGTGCTCGACTCTTGATTTTGGCTTAAGTCCTGACCTCAGGGTTGCGAGACTGGGCCCTACGTAGGGCGCCACGCTCAGCGGGGAGTCTGTTAAAGTTTCCCTCCCCCTCTCCCTCTGCCCCTCTCTGCACCTGCTCATGCTCTCGCAGGCTCTCTCTCCCTCGCTTGCTCTTAAATAAATAAATCTTTAAAAAAAAGGAGTAGGTCTCAGCTTACCTTCTTTTGCCACACTTTGCACCTGCTCCCCACGCCCTTCCTTACTTCAGGTACCAGCCAAGAGAACCTGTCAGGCTCCATCCTAAAGGCACAATGCCCACTCTCGCCTGCAGGTGCTCGTGTAGGTTATCCCTTCTGCCTAGCTCCCCACCCCCCACAAATTCTCATCTGAGCAATACCTATTCGATAGTCAGATTTCAGCTTAAAATACCAAATCCCCTATGAGCCCCTGAGGTCAGCGCTGAGTCAGGCACCTTGTGCTCTTACACAAAGCTCTACACATGACCTCTCATAGAATATTGCAACTGCCCATAACCTCATCTATAACCCCTCTGGGAGACTGCAGACTGCAAGCTAGGGGCTGCTCAACTAGAAACCATGGCCCTTAGGGGCCTATCCAGTGTCTGGCATATAGTAAGAACTCAACAAAGACAACATGATTAAAACAATCACTAAAACTTAAAATTAGGTAAGGGGAGCCTGGGTGGCTCAGTCGGTTAAGCATCCAACTCTTAGCTCAGGTGTTGATCTCAGGGTACCAGGTTTAAGCCCCATACTGGGCTCCATGCTGGGTCCGGAACCAACTTTAAAAAAAAAAAAAAATTAAAATTGTGTAACTAAATGGGATAAGGGTCTGCCTGAGCATTACCATGACTCCTTTAAGACTGAAATCACAGAAATACAGTAATTAAACCACTTCAAGGGAACTTTCTTGAAAATAATCAACTTGTGTTTTGTTGAAATACTTCAGAATCCCCCAAACCAGGATAAAATTCAGGCTGCTACCTTTTTTTCTGCTGCCCGTACACATACATGCAACAATTCAAAAGGGTAAAGAAAATATATGCAATTATTGAAAAGGTACTAAAATCTTGATATTCTTATCCTAGTAATCTAATGCAATTGTGATATACGAACAAAAATTTCTTGAGGAAACAGAAGTACCAACCTTATTTAAAATAAATAAGGATGTCTTTATGTCCTATCTTCTTCTCAAATAAACCAGATGACAAAAATACATACAACACAAGTAAATAAAAAAATTTAAAGTCAAGAAATCTCAACAGAAAAAAAGCACCAGAGTAGAAGATAAATTTAGAAATGAGGCTGGGACACAAACTATATGCTTCACGGTTCTGCATATTTGCAAATGAGGGGTCCAAAATGTGGCTCTCTGCTTATTGGTGATCACATTGACTGCGTCACGTGAATACCAATAGCCTTGTCTTGCCACACCTTATAGATGACATTTCTCACATCTTCTATCTGTACCATCTTTCTTCGGATACTTCTAAAATCTCATGCTCACGGGTTTTTTGGGGGCCGGGGTTTAGACTTTTTTATTTATTCATTTGACAGAGACAGCACAAGCAGGGGGGAGGGGCAAAGGAGAGTGAGAAGCAGACCCCTTGCTAAGCAGGGAGCCTGACACAGGGCTCAATCCCAGGACCTTGGGATCATGACCTGAGCCGAAGGCAGATGCTTAACTGACTGAGCCACCCAGGTGCCCCTCATGCTCATAGTTTTAATTATTCAACTCCTCAATTTAGATGTTTTTCTTTTAAAAAAAAATCCACAGCAAACACTCTCTAGGATCATATTTCCTTTCCAGTGACAAGCTCATAACTGCCGTCTTCCTGCCAGGGTGTGGCTCATGATCCTAAGGCGGCAATGCCATACCTGTCACAGAAAGTAATGCCAAACTGCTTCTTCTTAAGTATATTTTACATCAGACCAGAAAGTTACATGTATTTAAAACTGTGATGGGGCGCCTGGGTGGCTCAGTGGGTTGAGCATCCGACTCTCGGTTTCGGCTCAGGTCATGATCTCAGGGTCCTGAGATCGAGCCCTGCTTCAGGCTCCGCGCTCAGCGGGGAGTCTGCTTGAGATTCTCTCTCTCCCTCTGCCCATCCCCCTGCTCGTGCTTGCTCTCTCTCTTAAATAAATCTTTAAAAAAAAAAAACATGATTTGACAACCACTTTTTTTTTTTTTTACATAAAGTAAGGTGACTACTGCGAAAATTTTGTGCTAGAATAAAATCAAGTTTTGCCTTCACCCATCTTTCAATCACACACCAACAGCTTCGACTAGGCAAAAGAGCCTAACATCAAAGCACATTTTGATTCACTCTAAAATACATCTTTTCCAATTCCTTCTGCTCTACCGAGATTTATGTACAAAAGCTGGAGGCTGCTAGCCTCCAACCTTCAATAGAGGCACTTGGAATACAGTGAAGCGGACTGTTCAGCTGCTTAAAGTGGATCCCATGAGCCTGCCTCCTGGAGGCATTTGGGGCTTTACATACTTGAAAATGAATAGAATGGGTCAGTCAAAGGACACACTTGAGGTCTGCATGTGATAGCAGCTGGGAGTTGGGGGTGGGGGGACGAGTAAGAAACAGAGAATGGACTAGAGGGACACAGTAAACCTTACTTTAAAGGTCTGACAGCAATTACTGAAAGATACTTGCACCAGGACACATGCTACCATGCTATTTAAATAGTGGCAACATCAATTTATTTATTCACTATTTTTCTAAAACCATATACCAGTAACTGTATGCTTCCTAACCACTCACTATTCACATTTACTTTGAAAAACCACCTGTGCTTAAAACTCAAGAGCTAGCGTAACTAAGACTTTTTCTAAAACATTAGGGTTCTTTTAACAGAAATAACAACCATCTCTGTCATTATTACTTTTTGGCCCTTCACAAGCTATGATAACTAATATTTTCAATGCTTAACGCCTGCTTTTATTTGCCTAACCTATGTAGCTATCAAAGAACTGAGATCGTCACTATTTTATTTGAAACTCACAAACAACCTTGTCAACACATAATATAATTTCCATTTTATAGGAAGGAAACAGACAGTAGCCACATCACAAATAAATAGAAACACACATGTGTGCATTGTTTTAGGCGTGTTTATTTAATGATTAAGGGGGTGACGATGTCATTGAAATACATTTCATTCCTTCTAGATCAAATCCATCGGAACAAATCCAGAGCTATCCAACTTTCATACATTCAACACAAGAATGTGTTCATGATTGCCTCAGTAAATCCTGAACTTCATCAATTATAATCTCAAGCCATTTTTTTTTAGATTTTATTAATTTATTCATCAGAGAGAGAGGAGAGAGAGCATGCATAAGCAGGGGAAGTGGCAGGCAGAGGGAGAAGCAGGCTCCCCGCTGAGCAAGGAGCCGGACACGGGACTCCATCCAGGACCCTGGGATCATAACCTGAGCCGAAGGCAGATGTTTAACGGACTGAGCCACCCAGGTGTCCCTCTCAAGACATTTCTAACACATCCCAAGAGAGCAACTAAATGACCAAAAATTTTTCAGAACACAAAGATACCTTGGCAATTATATAAAAACTAAAGGACTCTATATAAAAACTAAAGGACTCTAGTCTTTACGGGTATTGCTAGGAAAATTACACATCTCAACATTTTCATTTCTTGAGAGTTGCCACCGCTCGAGGCGTGCAAATTTCAGCAAATTTGACAAGAAAAAAAAAAGTCATAAAAATTCTTCTATCCTGTGAAGCAATAGCAACCCAGAAGTGGCTCATTTTCAAATACTATCCATCAGTAATAGCCTTCTCTCACAACAGACAACCATAACAAATTTAGCTGCCTTCAGTGTTGGTCCAGATAGAGCTAAGGCACCAGAGGTGTCCATCTCCTACAGACTCAAGTAAGGCTCACCATTTTTTTCAGCTTGAGTTAAATGAAAGAAAATGTAATTCATATTTCCAGAAGGAAAAGTGGCATATTTTCCAGTAAGCTTCTTGTTCTCATTTTACTATTTTAAGAGTTCTGATCACTCCCAGCATTGCTGTGTAGCAAGATCTCATTTCTGGTGGCTGATCATTTCCATGGCACGATGCTTTACCAAAACCGTCTCCAGAAGCTGTTTTGATTCGTATTTAGCTTCAGCGTATTTATACACAAAATACCATTTCAATGGCGTTGTGCCAAAAAAGAAATAGCTTGCTCAGATTTCAGTTGACTTTGTTAAAGGAAATTATTTTAAATTAATGTGGCTATTGAACTGCTGCCATCCTTAACCTCAGAAAATATATTCCTTCTAATTTCTGCTGTGAACGTTTATTTATTTAAGTTAAATTCCAGCTCATGAATGTTGACCATAAGGAGTCTAAACCTTCCTGCTACTATTTCATATTCTTCTTCTAAACAAGGGCAGGCACATACTGGCCACATTAGTATGCAGAGCCAGATCACCACCATTAAGTGAAATCATCTATGTATTTTTGGTAGAATCTTTAACAACTTCCACGCCCGTCAGGGAAATGGAACAAGGCTGTTTTGTTTTCAGACAGCAACAATTTGACCTCTGGTTTACTAGATGGCGCTCAAAATATTTTTCCATATGTTTTTCCGCAAAGAGAATCTGACATCAGCGTGGTTTACCTTTACCAGTGAATGCAGGATTTTTTCACCAAACATATCCCAGAGGAAGGTTAGGTCTTCCTGGCTATCCACATGTGGCTGCAGCTGGGCTGGCAAAGCAGTCAACAGCTCATACAGACCTATAAAATGAAAATAAAACACAAAGCGTAATCTTAGAGTGATCTCATTAATTTCGCGTAAGGTGTGTATAAATGACAGCTGCAACATGTCCTTTATACGGGATCTGTTTTCTGGGCCATCAAGCAAAACCCTTCTCCCAAGAAGCCAACGAACCTTTTTGATTTTTAAATCCCAACTAAGTATGTATTAACAGGCTAGTTTTTACCTTTCGGTTGTCAACATTCTACAGGCATCCAAGTTTACATAACCTGAGACAGAAAATGTGTACAAGCTTTCAGAGAAAGAAGAAAACGCATACATTCCTTTCCTTAATCGTTATTACATTTCCCTCGATGTTCGCCAAAGAGTGAAATGAGTCATGAATAGGAAAAACCTCCTTAGAAGAGCAGAAAATTGATAGAGTGGTCCATTAAAAAAGGTTTTGTGGTTTCCAAATAGTTCCTAATAATATATAGCTTCAAAAACACTTGCATTATCTAACATCCAAAATCAAGTTCTAAAAAGTAAGACGGATTAAACCATCCTTGGTGTTGCTTCACTGTAGTCGCCTGGTTTTAAAACAACAACAACAAGCTACACAGAACTGAGTTTCAACTGGACTCTACTCTGGGCATATGTGATACTCTCTGAAAGAGTTAAGGACTCGGAGCCCTCCTCACTAGAAGCTTCCCTGGGGTAGACAGTAGCGCCATGTTCCACAGCAGCCGACTGCAGAAACCATCCATCTCCTTCAGGAGCCGTCAGACTCCCGTCCAAGAAAAGTTGCGACAGCGCCTGCCCAGGACTCTTCAGGGAGGTGACCTGGCAGGAGTCGGTATCAACTCTTAGCCCATGTTTCACTTTCCAGGGGGGATTACATGAGGTAAAAAGGACAAAATTCCTTTTATTTCTGTCTGGTGTCTACAAAAACACCGAGACGTCCTGGGATCTACAACACACGGGGCTGTTGTTATTCCTACGCTGAGTAAGTGCAGTTGTTCATCAGAGGGACAGCTTTACAAGATAGGTAACTAGCAAAGAATTGCAAATTATGGCCTGCTGATTAGTGTATCTATTATCTTCCAAAAGCATTATAACATTCTGATAATTAGTGATAATACACAACCAAATGTATTAGCTCTCGCTTGGAAAGTTGGATCTGTAACTTGAGAGGTTAAACTCAAACATTACTGGGACTGCATTTGGCCAAAAAGATCTATAATACTCTAGGAACAAAAAAAAACTTCTCCCTATTACGTTCTTAAGTATTCTTGATGGTTTATATTTACTCCCTTAAAAACCTGGCATCTTGCCTAAGCTAGCTCTTATTTATAAATTTGTAAAAACATTTTTTTATTAACATATAATGTATTATTTGTTTCAGGGGTACAGGTCTGTGATTCATCAGTCTTACACAATTCACAGCGCTCACCATAGCACATACCCTCCCCAATGTCTATCACCCAGCCACCCATCCCTCCCACCCCCCTCCACTCCAGCAACCCTCAGTTTGTTTCCTGAGATTAAGAGTCTCTTATTGTTTGTCTCCCCCTCCGGTTTCGTCTTGTTTCATTTTTCCCTCCGTTCCCCTATGATCCTGTCTTGTTTCTCAAATTCCTCATATCAGTGAGATCATAAGATAATTGTCTTTCTCTGACTGACTTATTTCACTTAGCATAATACCCTCTAATTCCATCCACATCGTTGCAAATGACAAGGTTTCATTTTCTGATGGCTGCATAATGTTCCACTGTATATACATATAAAAACATTTTTAAGGTGTCCAAACCTAATTCAATGTATAATAATACAGGTCTCACTTTACACATATACATATACACACACATTTAAAGTAATGACAATTGCCAACATCTGTGGTTAAGGTCAGAGGTTCAAGTTGAAAATTATGTAAAAAGAAGGTAGAGTTTCACTATTTTATATTGACTTCAGGAGCAGTAAAAATAATTCCTTATTCTTTGGTAATATGATTAGTTTAATTAATGATACTAATTTGACTATAATTTATAAGGTATAGTTGTTCGGGGGGGGTTAAATGAGGTAATATATTAGAACAGCCCCTGGCACATGGTAGTCTGTTTCAGATGTAACGCAGTGAGCTTCAGCCATTGTTGTTATTATTACTGTTATTCATCATTACCAGTCTTTGTTTAAAGATTTATTTATTCATTTTAGAAAGGGGGAGGTAGGCGCAGAGGGAGAAAGAGTCTTAGGCAGACTCCCTGCTGATTATGGAGCCTGATGTGGGGCTCGATCTCACGACCCCGAGATCATGACCTGAGCCAAAACCAAGAGTTGGATGCTCAACCAACCACACCACCCAGGCACTCCCATCACTATTATTATTAAAAAAGCAAAAGCCTTAGTCAAACAGACCTAGATTCAAACCAGGTCTATACTTCAGTTATTCCACATAACTTAACCTCAGCTTTGTTGCCCTCATCTGTTGGAAAAGAAATGGTAATCTGCACATGTAATAAAATTGAACAGAAAAAAATATACAAACATGTACGTATACACAAAGAAGTGCATGTGATACAGGGGAAATCTGAGAAAGGGTAATGGACTGCATCAGTGACAATGTGCCCCTTGCAATTACTATGGTTATGCAAGATGTTACCATTGGAGGAAGCAGGGTCAAGGGTACACAGGATCTACATTATTTCTTTGAACACGGGAATCCACAATTATCTCAAAATACAGTTAAAACCAAAGGAAACATTGTGGTAAATGTGACTGTTGTAAGAATTCAAGAGAACAATGCACATAGCAGCACTGAGCCCTGTGGCTGGCACACAGGCATTTGATAAATAAATAAATATATATACACACACACACACACACATAAATATGTTCTTCTTTTCTTAATATGCCTCATCTGGAATGAAAACCCCATTGCAATGGTACAAAGTCAAAACAACAGCTCAGCGATACATTCCCCTGGACCCAATACCATACTCAGAAAGAAAACCACCCTAGTCTTCTACATATGGAAAGTGTAAACTTTACCCAAGTACTGCTTAACTTTTTTGTGGGAATAAATCATATTATCTTACATTACAGTAATAATTTCTCTGTTAGCAGTAGCTCATAAACCTGAGTTTTCTGGGTTTCCTAGCCTTATACAATCGTAATTCATATGCCCCCCTAGCTTGGCACCCTCATGACGACAGCAGTCACTTCTCTTGAGCTCCCACATCTCGTAGCCCCACCAAAGCCAGAAGAGACAGGACAGTGCCAATCAGAAATGAAAGAAGCTGAGAAGAGTGAGGAGGGCGGGCGAGTGGCCTCAATGCAGGTAACATGGCCCACCACGTCCACTCAAGTGCGTCAGAGAGACCCCAGAAACCAGCTCAGTCCATGGCTAAAACCAGGTCCCTGTTCTCACAGGAGCTTTTTATATTCAGTTCCTAGAGTTCCAATAGTGAACACCACTATGAAATCCAAATGGTTTGGGTCCTTGATATTCAGAGAGCAAGTAACAGAGTTTAGCTAACAAGGGTTATCTTGGACAATCTTACCTACATCTACCTATATCTATTGAATCTTACCTAAATCTGAGCAAGAACTGGGACTACACTCCTCTGTAGTCATTCAAGCTCACGAGTGCTTCATTCCAGTGCACCATTATGGTACCTACCTAGAGGACTAAGACAAATCAGCCACGATCCCTGTCCTCAGGACGTCACAGTGTAGAGAACAAGCACAGACAGGTCAGTTAGGAAGTGCAGAGCAGGATTAGACTGCGTGGCAAGGCAAGGTAAGTGGTCAATTCCTCTAAAGGAGGGAGAAGACATCAGGGAAGGCTTCAGCAAAGAATCACACCCGAGTTACATCTTGAAAGCTTCCACTCCTAAGAATCAGCATTTATGAGTTCTTCCATTCAGAGCACTACATTAGTTCCTCTATACAGGTAGGTGGAGAATATGCCACCACCTCTACCCCAGAGATCTTACATCTTGGATAACACAGAATACATATCATATATGCTCAAAGAGAAAGCAATCCTAAATGATCTCCTATTTGGGGCGACTGCGTGGCACAGTCAGTTAAATGGTTGACTCTTGGTTTCAGCTCAGGTCGTGATCTAGGGATCATGAGAACCGGCCCCGCATCAGGCTCTGTGCTCAGCGTGGAGTCGGCTTGAGATTCTCTCTCCCTTCCCCCTCCCCCCCACCGCTCTTGTGCACACATGCTCGCTCCCTCTCTCTAAATAAGTCTTTAAAAAAAAAATAATAATGATCTCCTATTTGTCCAAGTAAAGATTCAAAATGTATATTCCTCCAAGTAAAATAAACAGATGTTTAGGCTGTGGATAAAATATTCAAACAGCAAATTAATTTTCACAGATATTGTGAGATGCCCATGCGGCTTATAGTATTTAAATTATAATTTGGTTAGGAACATACACTTTGAATTACCTATTAAGTACAAATATCGTAATTTAGATATTGAGGTTTACCCCACTTGCACATTTCATGCAACCATTTTATTTAAATTCTTCACAATGACTTCTTTATCACAACTACCACTTGTAGAGCTAGAAGAGATCATTTTCACTTCTAGTTATTTGAGATACAACACTTTTTTGAATGCATGGGAGATGCCTTCACTAAGAATCTGGGTAAAGCTGGGTGCTTTTCCACCTGATCTACACCTCTATGTTTTTATCTCTACACCAAAACCACTTACCTACTCTCTAAGTATCTCTAACACTTGCAGGTCTGTTTTTAACCCCTCTCCAAGAAATATTAACCCGGTTTAAACTTCCTTGTCTCTTTAAAAACAACAACAACAGTTCTGTCAGATGATCTTTCAATGACTCCAAAAACAGGAACTTGGGTTATATGAGAATAATTAGGGCTTCTCCAATCAACACATTTTTATGTAAGTAACAGAGAAAACGGTCTATAAGAAATTTTGTAAGGGCTTGACTTTAAGGCAGCGCTCTCTTCTCTAAGAGATCATTTTAGTAGTAGAAAAGAAATCTCACCTTCTGTTT